TTCTAAAGCTTTTCAATCACAATCAGGAGTTTGGCAGGTGTCACGCTAGTTGTGTATTTGTAGAGTAAAAGTTATATCCTGTCCTATTTTTATTAGGACAAGGCAAAGACAATAACACTGTTATTTTTATTGATTGTATCCTGCATGCTAACACAGAATGTGAAATACTACATGTTGTCCCTTAAAATGAACAAACATGTTCAAACAAGTGTCTGCAGATTCACAGTACACTTGTATTTAGACTTTTTGTAAGTGTGCTTTATTGTTATTTATCTTCATTATTATTACAATAAAGACATTATAATTAGATTTAATTTTACTTAATGTGTTTTTAATTTAATGGCCAAAATGTTTTACAGGAAAAAAAATGTTTTAAGAAAAAAAGGGAATGTTGTAACTGCTGACATCAAAAAATAATACTAGGGATAATATTTGACTGTTCACACGTTTAAAACTGCTGTGCTGTGGTGATGCAGTTTCAAAGCAGCCCAATCAGCTGGTGTGTCCAATTGCCAACGGATTTCCAGAAAAGGGGGTGTGTTGATATGATAACAGACTTTTGCATTGGATCGTCTGATTTTTCCTCACTCAATGCTGGTCTATTGATTTTTCGCTCCTCCAAAGCAGATAGAGATGTATTAGAACGTACTTTGGTCTGGTAGCAGACCAGATTGATTTCTGGACCACCCAAGAATCGAGAAAGGAGACAGGAAATAAGGCAAATGAGACATATCCATACACTCACTGAGGCTGCTTCCAAAGCACACTGGTCCTTAAGGCAGGACTACAGATACAATAAGCAGTTTTTTCAAGGACATGTGCTCATAAATTGTTGTTAAAAATATCAAATTCAGATGGATGACACTGACCCTGAACCCCCTCGGAACACAATACCCAGAGGGCAACATTTCAGTGAAAAACAAGACAGACTGTCCAAAAACTTGTCCTGTGCATGACTGCCTGTTACAGTTGGAAGTGGACATTTTAGTGGGGGACATTTAATAATAGATCAGCAGCCACAGCAGTTGACAAATGAATTTTAGCACCACCATTTCAAAGTAGTTTAAAGTAGTCACCTGAAATTCCAGTGTATAGTGGACCTTTGAAAACAATAAAATGTTTGAAAGTCGTCAAATACTGCAGCTTGGTCAGCGGCCCTCCACTTCAAAATATGACGCTGTAGGTATCCCTACATTTCTGGGCACGCCCGCTGTCAGAGTCTAAGAGTATAAACAGCGAGAAAGTAGGCGTATGGAGGTGGTGGGGTGGAAGTACAGTTAACAGGGTTTTAAATTATATCAGGTACGTTACGTAACTTACGTTAAGGTACGTCGGGTACGTGACATAACTTATATTATAACCAAGTAGTTATAATATAAGTATAATAAAAGTAGTGCCTAAACCTAACCCAACTGCAACCATTTCACAACAATAACCACGCAAGCATTATTTTGAAAGTGTAACTAAGTGCATTATTTCCAGGATATCAGATAATTTTAATCAATTTCCAGGTCTTTCCATGATTGGGAACCCTGCGCTAGAAGCGGAACCTACAGCGTCATATTTTGAAGCGGAGGGCCACTGAACAACGAGTTGAAAGTGAGAAAGTGAGAGAAAAAGTGGCTCTAGATATGGTCTTTCGTGTTTTTTGCAGCTACCATAGTTTCTCCTACACTCTTGGAAGGTGAGCGGTTATTGACATGCAACCAGCGTGCCACTTAAATATCCCACAGCCCTGTGACTGGCTCACCTAAATTAAGTTATCATTACTGTCATTAATTCCACTTTTCCCGCTTTGATGAGTCATGTCTGCTGTGAACAGGGTCTACAGTCGATGAGATCTTTCAGTCTGAACCGAAGTGATGGAGTGACTGACAGACTAGAATTTCCATTACTTATGCCATTACTTTGGTATAGCAAGAAATGCATTAACCCATCTCCTAAAACACCCTTCACCTGTACAGACTCATCTTCTCGTGTAACTGCGTACATCTCCACATCTCCCAGCAGAGTTCACTCACTCCCTCACTATTCAACGTTTCATATCACTTTCATTACATTACATCATGTTCACTCTGGCCCTTTTGCTTTTGGTCCATTTCCCCCCTCTTTTTTCTCTTTCTACCTTTCATGGACTTCATTTTGACAAAGGTCATTTACGCTGACAATGGTAAAATATGAGAGCAAGGAACGAATACGGATAAAAAGGGTACAGTGTGAAACAGAGAGATGGAGGAGATATTCTCATGTACAAAGATGACGGTTGGGGAGAGGGAGGATACCCAGAAACCCCCTCTGCTCTATAAGATGTGTTAAACCACAGTTTTGTACAGCTCAGATAATGCCCATTCTCCCTTTACTGCCTCTTTTTTCTGGACTATGTTGTTTGCAGAAAAAGAGTTTCTAACTTTTTATGTTGTTAGAGGTTAAAAAAAGTTTGCTGTCAATGGGTCACTGTACAGTATTATTTCTGAAGTCTATCTAATATTAAAGCTACATTTTCTAGGCTGCTCACCATGACCCTGGAGCTTTCGAATATTTAGCTAAAAATAATTTATTAGGGGTGAATACGTCTTCATGTAAAGGCAGTAAAAAACTGAAAATACTGTCTGCTAAAACAGAAGGGAGGAGTATCCATGCGGGGTCTTTAAGTGGGAAGGGGGTTGTGCAGCAGCAGTATGCTTCCGCAGGGACGCAGGGAAATATAAAACTTTGCACACAAAAACCAACCAGAATGTGCTTGCAAAAAGAGTTGTCTTTCTATCTCGCTTGTGGTCATTTCTGTTTTTCTTGCATTTCTTCCAATCTAAACAATGACACCAGTAACGTGATTAGCTAGCTACCCTCATGTGCACTTCTCAACTCCGAAAACACTGGAGCACATTTTAGATTCGCCATAAATTTTCAAATTTTTGGCATACTGCAGATTTTGCTTTTGTTCGCATACTAAATGCTACACTTAGGCCAAATCAGTACATATTGCTAGAGGCTGTTTAAATTACAGGAATAATACAGGAAATACATATATGTGTCATTTTAGAACACACAAATGGGTAATTTTGGAAAGAACTTAGCAAGTACTTATCATTCAGGTGGGAGGACTGGTTCGTTGAAGAAATGTCCTAAAGAAGACGACTTAAGGCCTCCACACACCAACCCGATTATCGGCCGTCGGACGTCGTCGGACAGTCAGGCGAGGTCGGTGGCTCGATTCGG